GAAGAGACAGAGAAAGAGAGACAGAAACTGAAAGTGAGATATCCCACCAGGGAGGATGATCACACCACAATCCTTTCTCCTCCATTCTCCTCTCAGGATATTGGTCACTCACACATACATGTCTGGTGTGAGTTTTAAGTCACTATATCCAGGACTTGAACTGTGGTTGACTACATGGGAGTCCAGCGACGTAGCCATTATTTCATCTGCTGGTCACTGGCTCTGCTTTTTAAGACTTCAGGCTTTTCTTTTTTTAATTAAGTTTTTGCAATAGGGCATGTTCACTCACCAGACAGAGACAGAGAGAGAGAAAGTGAGAGATCACCCCCTGCAGGGAGGAACGCCATGCCATCCCTTCTCCTCCATTCCTCTCTTAACATTGTGGGTGCACACACACCTACCCGGAGTGAATTTCAAGTCACCAAGTCCGAGACTCCAGATTTAGATTTTTTAAAGATTTGGTTTTGTTCCCTATAAGATACGAGCAATGGGTATGAAAAGCATTTTAACAGTGCTTGCTTTCATTTGCTCAGGCTTCTCCATGGTGACAGTCTTCTTACCAGCTTCTCCCTGGTGAGATTCCTGGGGCAAATATTTAGAAAAGTGCCAACTCCCTCTTGTTACCTACCCTTAATAGTTTCACACTCTCCTTTCTGTCTGAATGGTCTTTTTATAGCCAGTATGGTGTTTGGGAGCTTTCTGCCAAACAAACAGAGGTTTGGCTCGTGATCCTCACCACTAGCTAGTACCTGCCTCTTGCTGGAATTCAGGTTATTTGCACTGAAACCTCAGTTTTTGTTTTTTTTTTCCCCTGGAGCTAGAAAAAAAAATTTTTAATTTTATCAGCTTTTTTCTTTGTTATAAAATGTGAATGAGGTGCCTTCCATCTTTCTAAGTTTGTGAACTAAAATAGAGTCCTGTGATTGTTTTTAAATTATTCTTAGTCATCTCAAGCAGAATTTCCCACTGCTCACATCATTTAAAATGTTTCTGTTTAAATGTGAAGCATCCCTCAGTGTTTTCTTTCTCTGAGGATGTTTTCCTCTTCAATGTTTATGAGAAAAATAATCCCCATATATATTTAAATTAATTCAAATAAAATACATATGATTTACTGTTGGATCAAGTTTCTTCTTAGGAAAATAACAGAAATAATGCAAATAATAATCCGTAGATACTCTTTTCATGACAGCAATTTGTAATTAAATAAAACTGGAGATTCTTTTACTAAATTCTTTTATTAAATTGCACCATATCCCATAGTTTTGTAATGTGATAAAATTATCCTGACTCAGTTAATTACCAAACTACCCCCTCTTCCGGTTACACAAGTACATGTACCTTTCCAAATTTATTAAACTGTACACCTAAAACAGGTGCATCTTGTGACAAGCAGATGGTGTAATGGTTATGTCACTGAACTCTGAGATAGTCATTTGTGGTTTGAGTCATACTCAATGACTTAAAACTCATGCTGGGGGGACCAGCAGATGGTGTAATGGTTATGTTGCTAGACTCCCACATAGTCGACCGTGGTTCAAATTCCAGACCCAGCAACTTAAAACTCACATTGAATGAATGTGCATGCCTGCCCAAAATCCAGAGAGAAGAATGGAGGAGAAGGGATTGCAATGTGGCCATCCTTACAAGTGGGTGATTTCTTGCTTTCTGTCTCTTTGTCTCTCTCTGTCTCTCTGGTGAGTGTACATGTCCTATAGCAAGAATCTCACCAAAAATGAACACACAAACAAACAAAAACAAAACAAAACAAAAAAATAACTCACTTTGGGCTCATGTGCATGTGTGCCTCAAATCCCGAGAGAATGGAATAAAAGTCACCCGGGGGGTGACTTCTTGCTTTCTGGCTCTCTGTCTTTTTGCACCTCTTTGTGAGCATACATTTTTGCCCTATAGCAAAAAATCTCTAAAAAAAGAGAAAAGGTGCATCTTATAAAACATAATTTATTTCTTTTTAAAAATAACTATAATATTTAAAATGGGAAGACATACTTCGATCACAAAATCAAGTGTTTGGTTTATAAGGAAAATAGTAAGGACACAGTCTATTATGTTATATTTTGTCGTTTATAATTTATAGTGTTTTTGGTGAGCATGTTCTATATTATATTAGTTATCAAATGTCTAAGTATTTATTTAATGAATAAGTACGTCATTCAATTTTCTGATGACATGAAGTTAAATGGTTTACCCTGGATAAATATTGTGTTACTGGAGTAGACTCAGAATGGATTTGATTTTGTTTTCATTAAAATTAAACTAGAGGAGATACTTTCATATAAAATTCCTTATGATACTGTCTATTAAACAGTTTCATTTTGTACCTTGCATTTATTCGGATTTAATTAAATGTCAAGGATTTTTGTTTTTATTTATCACCAGCAAGAAATTAAATTTTTGAGAGATTTTTTCTATAGGGTGTGGTGCTTGCTGGAGAGAGAGAGAAGGAGAGACAGATAGCAAGAAAGTCGCCTCCCAGGAGGAATGGTTACACCACACTCCTTTCTCCTCCATTCTCCTTCCAGGATCTTAGGCATACACATACATTTTCCTGGTGTGATTTTCAAGTCACCGCATCTGGGACTCGAACTGTGGTTGGACATGTGGTAGTCCAGTGACGTAACTATTACACCACTTGCTGGCCAGTCTCCCAATCGTTTTATCTCTGTCAAGCACACATGCTCAATGACAATTAAAAAACAAAAAAGACTCCATAAAAACAAACAGATATAATTGGCCATTACTCTGTCCAACATGTAATTGACCAGCAGAGAGCACACTAGGCATTGAGAACCATTTGTCCAACAATTACGGCCAGTACTTTTACTTAGCTTCCGTTCTTTGTGTGAAAAAAATAATTCACAATTGAATAGCTGTTATTAAAACATGGCTAAAGACAAATTGAAAGAAGATGATGGAATGTCATTTAAGAAATAATATGTAAACCACTAAAATGCCATGGTTTACACAGGTTATCTAAATACATATAAATGTTTTTTATTATTGAAGAGAGACACATGAACACTCACATATTGAGTGAAAATATCCCTTAAGAAAGACTGGTCTTTTAAGTAAAACTAGAAGAGGGGCCATCAGGTGGCCTGGTGGTTAAAGCTCTGGACTCCCAAATTGTTGACCCTGTGACTCCAGTCCTGAAAGTGGTGGTTTGTGTTCTCACTTTGGCTCTCTCTCTCTGGTGAGCACATGAGCCCTACAGCAAATAAAAATAACAAAAATCAATCAAATTAAATTAATAATTCTTTAAAAAATCACTAAAAACATTAATTATTCTGAGCATAACATTTGGAATATATAAGAAGAGACCAGACTAAGAGAAAGGAACATGTTTAAGAAGATGCTAATGATAGAAAATGTGGCACATTGCAAGATGTAAAACAGTTCAGTATGAATCAAAACATATTTTGAAAATCTCACACATAAGATTAACCAGTGTTCCTAGAGTAACACAGAGCCCATCTTCTCTGCCAACTATGATGACTTTGTAAATAATCTAAGAGAGCTATTTTTTATTACCAAGTTTATTTCCACAGTAATGCCAATGCTCTTGCAGTAAAAAGTCAAATATTGCCTATGTAAGGTTTTATTTGCATAGGATCTAAAATTTAAAACCTCCATATAAACTTGAGATGTAACGTTTACTTGCTGTGTGACATTGGGAAAGTCTACCGAGGCTGTGATGATCATGTATGTGTATAATGTCTTTGGCTGATATGCACTGCATTTGTGCTGAGAAAAACCATGCTGTATGCTGTAAAGATGTTTCAAGATTAAAGATGTTGAAAGATTAAATGCCTATATATATATATTATATATATATATGCTCATATATATTTATGAGCTTGCTGTGTGACATTGGGAAAGTCTACCGAGGCTGTGATGATCATGTATGTGTATAATGTCTTTGGCTGATATGCACTGCATTTGTGCTGAGAAAAACCATGCTGTATGCTGTAAAGATGTTTCAAGATTAAAGATGTTGAAAGATTAAATGCCTATATATATATATTATATATATATATGCTCATATATATTTATGAGTATATATGCATATATATGAGTATATATATAATTGATATATATGAGTATATATAATAAAAATAGACCAAAGTACAAAGGATTTTTTCCCAAATGAGAAAGCCCTCTTTTATTAAAACTAACATAGACATGTGGAGACATTTTTAGTTTTCACAATTAAGCATAGACACAAATAATTGTGTTTGCATTCAGTATTGTGTTTTTAATAACATAATGTATTTTTATTAAAATAATAACATTATGTGGTATACGAAAAATATTTCCTAGGTATTCTAAAAGAAAATAAATTAATATTTAATGAGTTAATAAGTGATCTCGATTCTGGACACATCCATACTAAAAAAAAATCATATAAATTAGGTTCTCAAATGAATTAAGTGGAAGGTTTTGAGGGTGAACAATTTAAGAGAATTTATGTTGAAAGAATGTAGTGATATTAGCAATGTATAAGAGAACATCAGGGAGGGAACCAGCAGTTAGCGTAATGGCTATGTCGCTGGACTCCCACGTAGTCGACTGTGGTTCATGTCCCGGACCCGGTGGCTTAAAACTCACGCCGGGCACGTGTGCGTGCGTGCCCAAGATCCCGAAAGGAGAATGG